GCAACACACTGGCCACACTTGCTCTGCAGTAGCCACACTTTCTAGTGCGCTGACAACAGCAGGTATTTCAGCTTATAGAAGGGAAGGGTGAGCAAGGCCAGAACTGGGCTGAGAGGCCTGTGACACGCAGACACACATGCACACACAGCGTCTGATGAGACGTTCCCTCTCCAGAGTGGACAACACAACACAGAAAACAGAAACAGAATGCATACACAACCTTGATGTCGTGTGCCCCTCTGACTCCACAGACACGGCAAGCCAGTGTCTGTCTCAGGAGTCTTTAAAGTCAACATCCTTTTTAAGACCGCAAAAACAGACAAGAGAAAAATAATAAAAAGACAGATCTACACAGATTTAAGGCAGTAATTTTTAGCAAAATGATACAAAACTGTCTTAACCAAGTAGAAGACTGGTAGTCGCAATGGGATTGCAGGGAGCGCTGGTCGGCCACCACTGGAGGGGTGGAGAGGCTCGTGGCAGGGAGTTGGGGTCTCTGCAATGTTTCCCGCACTCTGCTCATCTTCCCAGCCCTGTGGTAACTGAGCTTCTGTGGGGGCCGCAGTGCCAGCCCCTAGCGGTGGGTGGCAGTTCTCAGAGCCTGTCCGTTTAGTCTGTATTTGGAATCCCCACGAGCATGGCTGGGTGAGTGGCCTGGAGAGCTCCCGGTGTGAACATTTTGAGTCTAGACCAGGGGGCGTGTCACTAGTAAAGCCATTGGTAACAGAGTAGATCAGCCATGCATTGTCTGCCCTTCACAGCAAAAAGGAGAGTTCTCATCGGTGCATGACAGACTGAAGACCACTGGAAGCCACCCGACCGGGAATCTGTGAGGTGGACATGCAAGAGGTATCTTGTCGGCCCGTGAGATCAGATGAGGAGACAGTGACTGGTGCCCCGTGGTGCAGCCGCATGCTCACTTTCCGCTCTCGTTCCATGCCAAAGACAGGCCGAGGGGAGGTGTTAGCCGTATGTGAGGTAGGGGTCAGGGGCGTGGGGGGGGTAATTCTTGGGTCCCCCGCAGGCGGCCAGAAGCTGTGGAAGGAAGGCTGCGGGTAGCTGGATTCCGAGAGTGTCTTAATCGTTCCTCTCAGTCCCGGCATTCCCGTTTGGCATCATCGGCTGCCCGGCTGGCACCAAACTTAAGCATGTTCCAGTCGAACACATAGTTGCAGGAGAAGCCCCGGCAATGGAACAGATTCCTAAAGAGCTGACGCAGATAGGAGTAGTCAGGCTTGTCATCAAAGCGCAAGGAACGGCAGAAATTCAGGTACGTGGCAAATTCAGAGGGATAGCCTTTGCACACAACTTCAATGGGAGTGGACATTTTTTTTCTCACTGATCCTCTCATACTTTTGCCTCTTGGTGGCAGCCTTCAGCCCCTGCCAGGGGAGAGAGCCCAGGTTGAAGTACATCAGCATGTATCCTAGTGACTCCAAGTCATCCCTTCGAGATTGTTCGATTCCAAGGTGCGTGTTGATGGAGGCATACCGTGCTGTGCCTGTAAGGTTCTTATTCTCTCGATAGGGGATGTGCTGGTGGGTTCTTGCATCCCGGTACTTCTTGGCCAGCCCAAAGTCGATGATATAAACCAGGATGCCCTTCTTCCCCAGCCCCATGAGGAAGTTATCTGGCTTCACATCTCGGTGGATGAAGTTCTTTGAATGAATGTATTCAATACGACTAATCATCTGGTCAGCAAACAGCAGAACAGTTTTGAGACTGAACTTGCTCAAGCAGAAGTTGAAGAGATCTTCCAGGCTTGGGCCCAGGAGCTCCATTACCATGACGTTGTAGGCCCCTTCGGCTCCACACCATCTGATGGTGGGGATGCCCACTCCTCCCTGCATCATTTTGTAGATTTTGCTCTCAGTGTGGAGCTGAGGGTGTTTGGTCTTGACACATTCAAGCTTGATGGCAACTTCTTCTCCTGCAGCAATATCCGTGCCAAGATAGATGTCTCCGAAGGAGCCGCTACCGATCTTGCGGCCCAGCCGGTATCTGTTCCTGACCCTCAGCTCCGTGGCGGCGCACCGCTTCTGGTCTTTGTTATTTTCTATATGCTACATCTGGAGGTATTGGGATATTTCGAGTTTGTATAACTGGAAAATATTTTACTTTTAGTTCTCAAAGGTATGTTTGCTAAGTATAAAATTCAATGAGACAGTTTTTTTTTTTTCAGTCCTTTGAATAAATAAGTCAAGTTTCTTACCCACTTGCTCTTTTATTTTTTTCTAATGTGGAATAAGATGCTATTTAATTTTGTTCTTCCATAGCTAATATTTTTTCTATGTATATGCTTTAATGATTTTTTCTTTATAATTAGTTTTGGATAATTTCAGTTTTATGTATCTCGGTATGATTTCATTCATATTTCTTGTGCAAAGGGTTCATTTTTCTTGGAAATGTGTTGCTATAATTTAACTAAATTCAGAAATTTTAAATTTTTAAATATTTATTGCCTACCCCCTTCTACTTTGAGAACTCTACTTATGTGAATATAAGTTTCTTGATTTTGGCACAGAGAGAACTATTATATGACTGATCTGTAAACTCTTCTTTCTTTCTTTTTTTTTTTTCTTTAGGCAGAACCGGGGATTGAACTCAGATCCTTGAGTTTGCCAGTCAAGCGCTTATCCTACTGAGCCATCTCCCGGCCCCAGATCTGCAAACTCTTCTTCATGTTTATTTTAGACATTTTTTATTGTTATATTCATTTAAGTTCATAAATAATTATTTTACAATGTGCAATCTAAAAATAAAACCAAAATTATGTTATGCTAAAAAAAGGAAAATGTGCTAATCACATCACCCTTAGTGATATATTAACACAGTTTATTGAACACCATTCTGAATCATTTCTTGATAATTCTATATATTAATACATTCTTTAAAATAAAAAACAATAATGGTATTTATTAAAAAAGACAGGAGAGTAAACTAGGTGCTCAGATTACAAGATATAGGCATGAAAATTTGATCAAACAAATCAAACAATATAAGCACAAACCTTTCTTTTCAATGAACTAATAGAAATTAATACCATCACACACACACACACACACACACACACACACACACACACACCCATATCCCTTTTTCTTCTTCCTACCCCAGTTTCTCCTTTTTGAACTGTTTCTTCCCATTTTACAACATCTACTGTACATTGTGGATCTTATTTACTGTTTCTTATACTAGGGAGCCAATACAGTGTTTACACATGAGTCTGATTTATTTCACTTTCAAGTATGGTCTGAAGTTGCATCTATTTACCTATAAAAGACTCATGCTTATCCTTCTTCATAACTGAGTAGGACCCCACTACATAAAAGTAGCATGTCTTTTTTTTTTTTTTTTTTTATCCATTTCTTGATTAATGGACATTCGGGTTAATTTCCAAGATATAGCTATTACAAATTGTGCTGCTATAAACATGAGTGCATATTTATTGCTGTGGTATGATGTTGAACATATTTTCATATACTTATTTGCTATTTGTATTTCTTCATCTGAGAAGTATGTATTTATCTCAGACACTCATTTTTGGATTGGGTCTTTGAATTTGGGGGGATGTCCTGATTCGTTGGTGATTTCTTGTGATATGCAAAACCTTTTAATAAAATGAGATCCCAGTTGTTGATTCTTTGAAAAGAAAAAAAACAAAAAAACAAAAAAACCACTCAACATCAGACCCCAAAATCCAAAAAATCAAAATAAAACCCAAGTCACAGAATTCAAAATTGACATATAATAAAAGCAAGGCAAAAAACTGAAGCTATTGCCTGTTGGATATTTTACTCCACAGACATTATCTACTGAAGTACTTGGTCTATTTGTGCACAGGGATATTTTTTAAGTACTCCAGAAGGGTTTTGTGAAAAAAACAAGTGTTTGTTCCCCAGGGCAAGTAGGCCACAGCAAGGAGGACACTGCAGTAGTGGCCCATGCATATTAACCCAGCACTCTGAGATGATGAAGTAGGAAGGTGGCAAATTATAGCCTAGCCTAGCAACTGAATGAGACTCTGTCTCAAACTTTTGAAAGGGTCCAAGTATGTAGCTTAGTACAAAGGCCTGGGTTCAATTTCTAGTATCATTCAAAATACATATTTTTTGGCTTCTGGCTATTTAAAAACAATGCTTCACAGTAAACAAAATCAAATGTCCTACAGATTGTTTTTTTCAGCAGTATTCACAAAAGCACAAGTACAGAGGGGAGGGTCAGAGGCTGGCATGCCCTGGGAGGACTTGTACTAAACTGCCATGGTGCAGAAGTAAGAGACATGCAATAAGCAGCCAGACTTTACAGCACAGGGCTTATAGCATAGGCCTGCAGTCTGATAGACACAGATTCAAATTCTGGCTTTCTGAGTCTTATGCTACTGGGCACATTATTTATTCTGCCTGATGATACTAAGAGTCCTCAGTTCCAAAAAGAAAATAATGTTAAGCTTTAATGAAATAATGGGCCAAAAGGTAGAGTAGTCAGGTGTGGCATAATCACTTATTCTTCTTCAAATTCCTAGTAAGCAATACTGCTATCTCTCAAGTAGAAACAAGTAAGTGGTAGAGAAAAAATAAACCAAAGATATATAATGTAAGGAAAGAAAATCAAGTCTGTATTATTTACAAGGTGTTCCTTATTCATGAAAGAGTTGGTACAAATGAGCAATGAAGGTTTCTTAAAAAAATGCAAGGAGAAATAGTGTAATCTTTCAGTAATCAGGCAGAAAAAACAAGTTACAGTAGAGAGAAAGGTAGAGGAAACTGGCTTCAAGCTTTTAGTTCAACAATGCAAGAAAAGAGAAAAAAGGAAAAGAGACTCAAGAATATTAACCTAGTTGTCATCCAGTTATGAACTCACCATATAATCTCAAACACAGAAAAATGGGCTACAAAACTGGGAGGCGTTCTTAAAAACAATAGACAATGAAATCTTATAACTACATTATGAATGGGTTAGACTAAAATGGAGATGGTGGTGGACAATCAATTTATTAACTATAGAACTAAAAATACTACACAACTGCCAACATTTGCCATATGTTGTGAATGTCAACAATGTAAAAGTAAGACAAGAGATCCAAATCACAAAATGAAGGCAGGAAAAGGAAAGAGAATTTGAATATACAAATTTCCATAAACTTTGGGGCCAGAATTTAGTCAGTACAATTAAAACTGAATCATACAGATATTCAGACAGATAGTAATGTTAAATTAAGCTCAACTGTCTATGTTGTAGGGTAATAATAATAAGCTTCTCTTCTAAAGGGTTAACAACCTAAGTTTGCAGACCAAAAATTAGGGAAAAAGAAGGGCTTCAAGGACAGCCAACATTTTGGCCCTAACCTTTCAAGGTCAGTGAGGACTCAGGACATAGGAGAACCTGAACTGTCACATCATGTAACTCAGTTGTGTCCCAAATTTTCTGATCAAGGAGATTATGAGGTCACAAAGGAAATGTAGATGTAGAGTGTGTCTAAGGAGAGTCACACAGAGAAAACATTCTCTCAGGCTTTCACAGAGAGCAAACTGGTCAAGCAATGGCCATGACTCATCCACATGGCTGACACTGACAAAGGATCTACAAACTGCTGTACAGGGTTTCAGGATAGATCCTGAGGAGATTTGATTGATCTTATCAGACACAAAAGTTACATTTCTTGTTATATAGGTTTTGCTTTATCTTGGCCTTAACCATCCAGCAGAAAAGTATAAAAGTGAAGTATAAAAAGTAAAGCCATATTAATATGCTGACCTGTAAAAGGCTCAAGTCAACAACTTCTGACATTGCCAATCCTATGGATAACCCACTACTATTATGAACTACTGGACTATATTGGAATATTTTGCTGAATTCACACACCTACAATATTTAAATGACAATGGAATACCCTTTTCTGACAAAACTAAACAAAAAAGGGGGATACAAATGAATGACCATTTCATATCTGTATATTCAAAATAGTTATACAGCTGCATTCTCTTAATTCAATGAATAGAGAGATTTGTTCCAATAGTGTTTGTGGATAGGATATCATGTCTGCATCTTGTACAATGAATAACCACTAAGATAACAATATGTAATATATTTATTAATTATTGAAACTGTGCTAGTAATCAGTTTTGAAACTGTCTCATTGCTATTTGTTTCTCAATAAAATTATTTTTTTAAAAAATGAACCATATACTTTTTAAAAATGATTCAATTTTTATTACTTTTATAATATTTATGTAAGAATGGAGGGGTTACTTAAGAAATCCAGGGCCGGGGGGATGGCTCAGTGGAATAAGTGCTTTCCTGTCAAGCGCAAGGGCCTGAGTTCAATCCCCGGTTCCACAAAAAAAAAAAAAAAAAAAAAAAAAAAGAAATCTTAGGAAATATTTAACAAGCCTTAGAGACTTTTTTAGTCTTATTTTCATTTAGTATTTTTTGCTAAATTCAAGTGAAATAAAATACAGTATTTTTCTTAAAATACAGTATAATTCTCTTTTAATCAAATGATCTATTTAACACTGATTTTTTCTGCATGTATATGTATGAAGAAATATCTACAATAATATTATCTTACTCTTTCTGATAGGTATTTTTAGGTGTATTGTTTTGAATTTTGCTTTTTCTCTCTCTGCTACAATGCTTAGTATTTTCATAGTAAACAGACGTAATTTTTACAAAAAAACTAAAGTCATTTGGAGAAAATTTATTTTAACACGGTATCTGACACTGTGAGTCAATCTGGAGTCAGTGCTAAATAAACATAGGCATAAACTAAGGGGGAAATGAAATCAGAATCTTGGCAACAATCAGAAGGAAATGTAGGGACTTGGGAAGACAAGGAATTCTGTGAGAAGAAAGACATCTCAAATGTGGCACAAACAATAAAAATCACAGAGAACACAGAATTAAATAAAATATGTGTACCTGAAAAGAATGAAGTCATTTTGGTGAAGGTCATTTTCACTTGGTAATAGCAATCACTATGTAAATCAAGGTTTTCCATTTCTGAGTTCTTGCTTTGCTACAATTGCTTTACTGA